CTTTGATTAAGTTTCCACTTGTCAACAAGGACTCTATTAGGGTGGTTATTTTCTAGCCTTTTAGATCTTTCATATATTTCTAAAGCTGCCCGTTTTCTTCGAGTTTCTAATGGCTCAATATTTGTGTGGATTTCACAGGCCGCAGTCAGTGAGGATCTCATTCCGCCAGAGATAACATTTCTACCTGTACATTTCCTGTGTCATCATCAACATTTCTACCTGTACATTTCCTGTGTCATCATCAAAATTTCTACAAGTGTCACACTGAGAGAGGAAAAGAAAGAGTGTAGAAGTACGAAGGTACAAGAGAAGGGAGGAACAGACAGAGTCAGTCTAATTTTAGTAGAAGTTTTATGGCACTTGCAACGGCATAAGATCTTATGAGCGCCAGAAGATTAGAGGTGTTACAAGTGAGTAACAAATATTTTATAAAAGGAGAGATAAGGATGACAGATGTTCAATAGGAAAGAAGAAGCAAACCACACCAGAGCACCCGCCAACCACCCACACAGACAGAGTGGAGAAGTACAGCGGGCTCTCGTGGCCTAGAGGTTAAGGTGTTCCCCTCTCATTCAAAGGTCCTGGGTTCGAATCCGGGTAGCGACCGAACAAATTTCTTCTCTAAAAATGTCTCCTTTCATCTCCTTTTCTGCTCTCTAGCGATGTTCTGTCGTCTGCTTTCGTCTCCTCTTTCTGCCCCCACCCCCTCACCTCCTTTACCCCCTCCTCTGGGCTCCTGACTCTTTCTGCAGCCTTTCTACTGCTACTCTTTGGCTCCTTTTCACTGCTGTCTTTCAGCCACACCCCTGATCTTCTGGTAGGAAAGTTCTACACCTAGCCTTCTCGGACAAGGGCGAAAAATCTCGGAGGGCTCATGTGCAAGCTGTACACGTTAAAGATCCCTTAGTGGTCTAAATTCGACAAGAGTAGGCTTTGGCTGCACCCGGGAAAATTTCTAAATTTCCTATCAAATGGATAAGTTTAAGGTGCCCTGCGCACTCATAAAACCTTATGCAGTTGCGAGCGCCGTAAAACACTTATCAAAACAAAAGAAAAAGGACAAGTATGAAGGTACAAGAGGAGAGAGGAACGGACAGAGTGGAGAAGTACGAAGGTACAAGAGAGAGAGGAACGGACAGAGTGGAGAAATACGAAGGTACAAAAGAGAGAGGAACGGACAGAGTGGAGAAGTAGAGGAGAGAGGAACGGACAGAGTGGACAAAAGTACGAAGGTACAAGAGGAGAGAGGAACGGACAGAGTGGAGAAGTAGAGGAGAGAGGAACGGACAGAGTGGAGAAGCACGAAGGTACAAGAGGAGACAGGACCCACCTGCCCGCCCCTGGCTCTGTCATGGCGATGGCTCCGATACATTTGCCGGCCGTCATGGCGGGGATGAACTTCTCGATCTGTTCCTTGCTGCCGTAGTGGGTGATGTAGGGCATGACAATGTCGGAGTGGAGCGCCCAGCCAGGGCCAGAACAGTTACTGTATGACCTGGGAGAGAGAGAGAGAGAGAGAGAGAGCGTGTGAGTGAGTGAGTGAGAGTGTGTGTGTGTGTGTGTGTGTGTGCGCGTGCATGTGTGTGTGAGTGGAGGGCCCAGCCAGGGCCAGAACAGTTACTGTATGACCTGGGAGAGAGAGAGAGAGAGAGAGAGAGCGTGTGAGTGAGTGAGTGAGAGTGTGTGTGTGTGTGTGTGTGTGTGCGCGTGCATGTGTGTGTGAGTGGAGGGCCCAGCCAGGGCCAGAACAGTTACTGTATGACCTGGGAGAGAGAGAGAGCGTGTGAGTGAGAGAGTGTGTGTGAGAGAGTGTGTGTGTGTGTGTGTGTGTGTGTGTG